TGGCGTTGTTAGACTATTCACATGTAAAATGGTGATTGACATATTTGTTTTCTATTTGTTGCATTCGTTTGTCATTTTTCCCTCCCCTTTCTGCCTTTTCTGGTTTTGAAATTCTATTTCTTATACACATTTTTTGTCATTGTCCTACAGTTTACAATGTACATTTTTAACTAATCTAAATTCACCTGAAAACACACTATACTACTGTATGTGTGTGGTAGAAGTAACTTATAACAGTATTCTCCATTCCTCTTTCCTGTTCTTTGTGACGTTGCTGTTATTCACATCACTCATCCATATGCTATAATCCAATATATGTAACCCAGTACATTGTTACCATTATTGCTTATGGAAAAAGTTATCTTTTAAGTTCATTAAGAATAAGAAAAAGAAAAGATTTTATTTTACTTTTATTTATTCCTTCTTTGATGATCTCCCTTTCTCTGTGTAGATGCAAGTTTCTGACCTATACCATTTTCTTTCTGCATGAAGAGCTTCTTTGAAACATTTCGAAGCACGCTGGTCTATGGATGACAAATTCCCTCAGTGTTTTCATTTGCTTCAAAACCTCAGAGAAAGTATTTATTTTTAAATTTTAATGGATAATTTCTCTAGATATAGAATTCTTGTTGGTTTTAATTTTTTAAATATATTTTATATTCATAGAGACAGAGTCTCACTCTGTTACCCAGGCTGGAGTGCAGTAGAAGCTCACTATAGCCTTGAACTCATCAGCTCAAGGGATCCTCCTGCCTCAGCCACCCAAGTAGCTGGGACTACAGGTGTGTGCCACAACGCCTGGTTAATTTTCTGTTTTTATTTTTTGTAAAGACGTGGTCTCACTATCTTTCCCAGGCTGTTGTAAAATTCCTGGCCTCAAGTCACCCTCCCATCTTAGCCTCCCAAGGAACTGCCATGCTCTGCCTTATTTGTTTGTTTGTTTTTTAAATTTCAACATGAAGTATTTTATGCCACTCTCTTCTTGTTGGCATGGTTTCTGATGAGAAGCCCACGTAATGTTCACCATTGTTCCCCTATAGATCAGCTGTTTTAATCCTTTGCCTTCTTTCAAGAGTTTTTTTTTTTTTTGTCTCTGGCTTTCTGCAGTTTTAATGCACTGTGCCTGGGGTGGTGTGTTTGATATTTATCATGTTTAGTGTTCGACAAGCTTTCTGCATGTATACTTATCTCTCATTAATTCTGAAAAGACTTTCCCATTATTACTTCAAATATTTCTCCCCTCTATATTTTCTTCTTTTAGTATTCCAATTTACACGTATGTTACCTCTTTGTTTTTATTTCTGATTGAGACAGGGTCTCACTCTGTGAGCCAGGCCAGATACAGTGACATGATCATAGCTCCCTGCAGCCTTGAACCCCTGAGCTCAAGGGAAACTCCCTGCTTAGCCTCTCGAGTGGCTGGAATGGCAGGCACATACCATCGTGCCTGGCTAATTTTTTTTTTTTCATTTTTTGTTGAGATGACATCTCACTATGTTGCCCAGGCTGGTTTTGAACTCCTGGCCTCAAGTAATCCACCTGCCTCAGCCTGCCAAAGTTCTGGGATTACAGACATGAGCCACTACACCTGGCCTCCACTGGATCCTTGAGATGACCCCACAGTTCCTGTGTGTTCTATTTTCTACTCAAGTCTTTTTTCTCTTTGGATTTCATTCTGAAAGGTTTACTTTCTTTCTTTTTGTTCCTTTTTTTTTTTTTTTTTGAGATGGAATTTCGCTCTTGTTGCCCAGGCCGGAGTGTAGTGGCGTGATCTCGGCTCACCACAACCTCCGCCTCCCAGGTTCAAGCAATTCTCTTGCCTCAGCCTCCCTAGTAGCTGGGATTACAGGGATGAGCCACCACACCCGCTAATTTTGTATTTTTAGTAGTGATGGGCTTTCTCTATGTTGGCCAGGCTGGTCTCGAACTCCCGACCTCAGGTGATTTGCCCGCCTCAGCCTCCCAAAGTGCTGGGATTACAGGTATGAGCCACCACGCTCAGCCTCTGAAAGGTTTCTATTGCACTGTCCAGTTGCTCAGACCCTGTCCAGGTTGTGTTGTCACTGATGAGCCCTTTGGAGGCATTCTTTTTACTAAGTTTTTCATCCAGCATTTTCTTTTGATTGGCATTTAGAGTTTCTATCTCTCTGTTTACATTATCCTTCTGTTCTTGCATGTTGTCTACTTTTTCCCATTAGATCCTTTAACATGATAATCATAGTCACTTTAAGTTCCTTGTCTGATCTTTCTAACACCTGTGTCACATTTGAGTTTTGCTCTGATGACTGCTTTGCCTTTGCCAACCATGTTTTTTTCTAGCCTCTGACCCCTCTGCTGTGCTCCTTTAGAGAACTGGTTTATCAGCCCAAACCTGCTTGAAACCTTTGGCCTGTATTCTAGGGAGGAGGGCCAAGACTCCTGGCCAGACAGACCACTGACATGCTTTATTTTGTTCTGTTTTCTAGTAAATCTGAAAATAAGCAAACACATTTGAAAAACTCCAGTTCCCTTCTCCTTCCAGGACAATGAGTTTGATGTCACTGCTTCTGTCTCCAGCAAATTCAAAGGGAACTGCTGCTGGCTTGTCAAATGTGCAGTTGGTGCCAGCTGGGCATCTCCGTGTAACCTGCGTTACACTGAGAAGCAAACACATCGTCCCAAATCCATCACCTAATTTCATGGCAGTTGCCCGCATCAGACCTGTCCAATCTGTGTGGCTTGGCTCACGTGAAAAACCAATTAGAAGCCTGGCAACCTTGGGGTCACTGCCTTGCTTCTAGCCCTGTCACCGTGATGAGTTTGCATATTAGACTTGTAATTTCTGCCAGAGCACTTGTAATTTGCTACAGCCATCAGCACGCAGGTAAGAAGGGGGAGACACGGCGTTCTGCAGGGCACTGGGGCCAAAGACTCACCAGAAGTTGTCAACACAAAGGGCGGAAGGATGGCACAGGTCCCCGCCTGGCGGTCCACCCACTGACTTATTCAAGGTAACTCAGCAAGTGGTGAGTTGGGCTTTGATCCAGAGCACTGCACTTTCACCCACTGAAAGGAGGAGTTAGAGCTGAGGCTTCCTTCTTTAGCGGCCCTGAGGCGGGGAGGAGGTCTGCAGTGCAGGTCCCTCTGACCATCACCTCTCGCCTGCCTCACGCTTTGTCCCAGCTGCAGTGTTGAGCCAGGAAAATCACATCGCATCTGCAGCTGCTTAATCAGCCCTGGAAGGGTCACTGCAGGAGAAACAGTCTTCAAACTGAAGCTCCTAAGCCTGGTCCTGTGCACATAAACATTCCATAAACATTAATATCCAAAACATGCTCCTCAACACACACTAAGCTGCATACAAGAGATGCTAACAATATTCTTAATTTTAAAATACTGGCCAGGCACGGTGGCTCATGCCTATAATCCCAGGGCTTTGGGAGGCCAAGGCAGGTGGATCATGAAGTCAAAGCTCAAGACTATCCTGGCTAACGTGGTGAAACTCCACCTCTACTAAAAATACAAAGAGAAAAAAAAAATTAGCTGGACGCAGTGGCACGTGCCTGTAGTCCCAGCTACTCAGGAGTCTGAGGCAGGGAATCTCTTGAACCCAGGAGGTGGAGGTTGCAGTGAGCCGAGATTGCACCACTGCACTCCAGCCTGGCAACACAGTGAGACTCCATCTCAAAAAGAAAAAGAAAAAAGAAAATGTTGTGTGCTCAGTACAAGCCAGCCACCATGCTGCTCCTGCATATGCTTCTCTAATACCCGCCTCCTCTTCCCAACCTGGCTCCAAGCTCCTTGAGGGCAGGGACCATCCGCGCACCCATTCACTGCTGTTCCTCTGGTCCCTCCCTCTCTTACTCTGTGAGGAGTTATCAGAAAGCAGAACAAGTGAGGAGAGGCACAGAGCATCAGGTATTCCCAGGCCTATGTTCATACATGAGCATGTTGGGAAGAGAATTCCAGGACCCAGGATGTGGGGGTTTGGGGTTCCTTGGTTTTCACCTTCCTTCCTCCACCCCAGGGTGTCCTGACAGCAGCAAATCCCAAAGCCTCCCTTAGCTTCCGCGTCCTCATCGTCAAAGCTGGCCCCATGACCCCCGATATGGGTTAGATCTGTGTCCCCACCCAGATGTCATGTTGACTTGTAATCCCTAACGTTGGAGGTGGGGCCCGGTGGGAGGCGATGGGATCATCACCCCATCTCTCGTGAAGGGTTTAGCGCCATCCTCCTGGTGCTGTCCTTGTGATACCGAGTGACTTCTCCCAAGATCTCATGGTTTATAAGTGTGTGGCACCTCTCGCCTCTCTCTCTTGCTCCTTCTCCCAACATATGAGCCACCTCACTCCCGCTTCACCTTCTGCCACGATCGGAAGCCTCCTGAGGCCTCCCCAGGAGCAGATGCTGCCATGCTTCCCGTACAGCCTGCAGAGCCGTGAGCCAATTAAACCTCTTTTCTGCACACATTACCAGCCTCAGGTATTTTCTTTATAGCAGTGCAACAATGGACGAGTACATGCCTGCTGGCAGAGTGGCTTGCATGAGATCATGCTACAATAGCCTAAGACGCAGTTGGCGCATGGCAGCTCTTGCTCATTGATCACGGGCAGGTTGGAGGGTGCAGGGAGGCGCAGTCCCTGCGGAAGGTGGAAGGACGAGAGTGTGGGCTTTGAATTTTGCATGCTACTGCTCTCCACCTGACCTGGGGAAAGTCATTGATCCTCTCTGCCTCAGTTTCCCTATCTTCAAAGCAGAAAGTATACCCTTTCTGGGTTACAGGACACGCTGTGAGCCAGGCTGTGCATTTCATAAACGATTCTTTGGACGTGTAGCGACACTGAGCTCACGGGGCATCCTGAGAAACAGAGGTAACGTCAGGCAAGGGCAGATCACAGGCACAGAAAGCCCAGGACGTGATCATTCTTGTGTGGTCATCCTGGGGACTGCCAGGGGGTGACCTGGGACATCCTTCCGCCCTTTGTGTTGGCAACTTCTGGTGAGTCTTTGGCCCCAGTGCCCTGCAGAACATCACTTCTCTCGCCTCCTACCTGCATGCAGATGGCTGTAGCAAATTACAACCGCTCTGGCAGAAATTACAAGCCTAATATGCAAACTCATCATGGTGACAGGGCTAGAAGCAAGGCAGTGACCCCAAGGTTGCCAGGCTTCTAACTGGTTTTCATGTGAGCCAAGCCACACAAATTGGACATGTCCCTGTCCTTACTCCCACCACCTGGGAAAAGAGTGTTCCAGAGAGTCGTGTACCCATCCCAACTCCCACCACCTGGGGAAAGAGTGTCCCAGAGAGATGCGTCCCTGTCCCTACTCCCACCACCTGGGAAAAGAGTGCCCCAGAAAGACGCGTCCCTGTCCTTACTCCTGGCAGCTGGGAAAGAGTCCCCCAGAAAGACGTGTTTCTTTCCCAACTCCCACCACGTGGGAATGTGACCTTCTTTGGGAGAAGGGTCTTTGCAAGATGTGATTCAGTTAAAGATTTGAGCCAGATTCATCCTGGATATTCGAGATGGGCCCTAAACCCAGTGACAAGCGATGCCAGGAGAGAAGAGAGAGCAGGTGGAGACACAGAGAGAAGTGCAGGAGGCCCCGTGAAGGGGAGGCAGGGACTGGAGTGCTGTGGTCACAGGCCGACGAGGCCCCTGGGTACCAGAAGCTGGAAGGGTCTCTCCTGGACCCTTGGGAGGAGGCACAGCCGAGCTGACGCCCCAGTCTCACCCATCTGGTCTGCAGAATTATGAAGGAGTCAATCCGTACTGTTTAAGCCATCCTGCTTGTGGCCATGTGTGAAGGCAGCCACACACAGGAATGCAGCCCTCCAGGGAGGCAGGGGGAAATGAAGGCCGGCAGAGGTGACACAGCCAAGGCGAGGCTGCAGAACCACATGGGCCTGCTCTGCTCACGAAGGTGGGCCCCGATCCCGTCTGACCAAGGTGTATACCATGTAAGTCAGCTTTTAGGCTGACTGATGGCCCCATGGGCGCCATGTTAACCTCTGTGACCTGCACAGACACTCCAGATGAGTTCCTGGAAAATCTGAAGTAACTGGAAGACCATGGAAAGAGGAAGAAATGATCAGCCCCCCTGTGGCGCCTACTTAGCTCTGAGACATTCTCTGCTGTTCCTTATTCCCACCCCAACTGATAAGGCCATTGGACTTTGTAACCGACCTTGGTCAACCTCGTGACTCCGGACCCTACGACCCCCACCCAGCTTGCAAACCTACAACCCCTCCCGGCTGTCCCTAAACTGTAACTCTGTAACTTTCCACTGCCCACCCCAAACCAAAAAACCAACTCCTGTCCCTCCGCCCTTCGCTGACTCTATTTTCAGAATTAGCCCGTCCACACCCGGGTGAATAAACAGTCATGTTGCTCACACAGAGCCTTTTTGTGGGGTGGGGGGGTCTCTTCATTCAGAGCGCACATTTTAAATTATCAGAAGAGGGATGAGCACACAGGCACACACGGCGTGAGGACTCAGGGGAAGGCGGCGTCTGCAACCCTAGGAGAGAGGCCTCGGGAGGGACCAGGCCTGCCATTCCTTGATCTCAGCCTTCCAGCCTCCAGGACTGTGAGATGGCAACTGTCTGTTGTTTAAGCCACCCGTCTATGGGGCTTTGTTAAGGCAGCCCCAGCAAAGGAATGCAGGTGGTATTGCAAAAACCCCATTTTCCCCTGGGGTGGGGCGGGGGGTGGGGGAAGCCAGCGGGGTCCTGGATCCTGCTGGTGTCAGCTGCTGTGGGAAGCAATGTTCAGTGTTTCAGGATGAGGCATGTCGTCATCTGTTCCCAGAACAAGCCTGGTCCCGGTGACCTCTTCCTCCAGAGCCTTCACAGACCCTGCGGGCGGCCACAGGTTTGCACCGGGTCCAACTCGGTAGGAAGCGTCACAGCCGCGTCAGGGAAGAGCTTGGTAAATTGAGTTCACGGTGCTTGACGGGCGGGGAAGGAGGTGTTCCCTGCGGGATGCCAGGATGTTCCCAGTTTCAGCACCATTCAATTACAATTCAGCAACAGCTGGCCTGGCCCCAGGGGCCCCTTCCAAGGTGTCAACAGCACAGCCCACTCCTGGTTTCACTGCCGATCCAGGGGCGCCGGTCCTCGTTGGTCCACATTGGAGGAGCCAGCCACAGGCAGATTCCATGACACCCAGCCTTCCCAACACCAACGCCAGGGAGAAAGATCTGTCACTGGTGATTGGATTGTCTGGGGTATTAAAGGCCACGACTGTCCTCTTCCGGGGATGCCCAGCAGACAGGTGGGTGCACTTTTGCCTGGCGGGTGGACTGTGGATGTGTGGCATCCGAGCAGCAGCCCCAGCGGAGGCGGAGAGGTGAGTCAGGGAGCTGTCAGGCTTGCAGCCTGGCAACTTCAATAACGTCCTTAGGCCATGCGCTTCCTCGAAGGGGAGGTGTGCAAGCCCTGAGGTCAGAGGAGCAGGGGCTGCAGGCGCGATGCCGGCTCGGGGCTCACGCAGAGCCGGTGCTGATGGGGTCCACGCAGATGTGCACATTTGGGTGCATGGGCCACTGGACGCCGGGAGGCTGCTTTCCTCACTCAAACTACCGCACCTTGGGAGGCATGGGTCTGCCTCAAGGGAGGGGCCACGTGCAGATAAGCACATGATCTGCTGTTGTCCAAGCCTCTCGGTCCTGCTGTGGTCTGTGTGATGCAGAGAAACACGGAAAACATCTGAAGCCCCATCTGCCAAATCGGCCGGGTCTGTTTTTCCAGCCTCTGGCTTCCAAACAGCACATCGAGGCCACAAGCCCTTTTCCCTGGATGGTTCTGTCTCTCCCATCCCCACACCAGAGCAGCTACAGGCAGGAAGCCAGCAGTGGCCTCTGAGGCCTCCTCCCTGTCCCTCAGGAGGCTCGCGTGAACACCCGCCTCTACTTGTTGCATGTGGCACCTCACACCTCTGCATCCATGCCCCCGTCCCCACTCCCAGGCTGCACGCCTGCACCCCAGCGAACACACAGGCCTTGCATCCCTGTTCATGCTGAGCACCTCACTTCTGGTCCAGCCCAGGTTCCCAGTGCCTTGCCCCAGGCCCAGCCCTGTCATTTGCTTTTGAGTCTGCCTGGGGGGCTTGGTTTCTGCACCGAGATGCTGGGGACCGCCTGGGACTTGGCTGTGCATCTTCAGCACAGGGTATGTGTATCCTGAGGCCTGGAGGTACACCTGTGGACTCACCTGGGCTGGCTGACTGGGAACACAAAAAAGCCTCCTGGATCTGAAGTTAAGACAGGTCCCTGAGAACCAAGGGGCGATCCCACTGCTGTTCCTTGGATAGGGGCATTCAGGAAAGGGCAAACAGCAGGGGTGCCAGGACCAGCCACCCAGCACGGCACAGACGGCTGACCACCAGAGGGTAATGCCTGGGGCACCTGATGTGGGGGTAGGGCGGAGAACTCAAATCAAGGAACAGGAGCATGAGTTCAGGATCAGAGGCCAGTTTCCAAGCTGGCCCTGCACACCTCAGCCACTGCCCCTCCCTGACGGGGTTCCCCTCCTGTAGGAGAAGGGGGGCTTACTCACCCAAAGGCTCTTCCTCCCTCCTATGCTAAGCCTTGCTGGGAGCCCTTTCATGACAAGGGGCTAAGGTGGGTCTCCAGGGCTGCCCTCGTAGACCTGGGGATATGAGCCTGGGCTGGGCTGCCAGCAAAGGGCCAGTCCAGCTTCCTTCCTGCTTCTGAGTTTTGGCTCAGCCTGGGGACACCAGAGCAGGGAAAACTGCCTCTTCGCATCTGTGTCCCGGGAGGACCGGGTAGACACTCGATTCAGTGCAAATCCTGGGACTGCCTCCAGCCTCCTGCAAAGCTTCTCCACCCTACTCCTCCCCTCACACATTGCAAACCTGCCCGAGCCACAGAACAGAGAGGCTTCCACCTTTTCAAGTCTCATTGCTTTGAGGGGGCTTGGGCAGGAGTCAGCCCTGATGGGCACCCTGGTTGGCACTGGCCATGGAGGACACAGCTGTAGCCACAGCCACAGCCGCAGGTGGGACCATCCAGCACTTTCCCAGATGCTTGGCCTGCGTGAGGGACGTGAAAAGCATTGTGGCTTCATCCTGAAGATAGATCTACAAAGCTGTAGCTGAAATGAGATGGAAAGTGATGGGCCAGCCTTTCCCTTTTCTCTAATCTCTTTATTCAACCTCAGTTTGGTGTTCAAATGCACCTCGATGCGAACCCTGCCTTTTGCCAAAGAGATTTAGAGGAGCAAGGGAGAAGGCTATGCAGTTTCACATTCTGAAGCGTGTGCATAAATCTGCATATCATATGCATCTATTACAATGGATCATAAGTTGCATAATCAACTCAGAACGGCTGGTTTTTATTTCTCCGCTTTGTAAAATGTGTTTTGTACAAATGACATGCACCCTATCACTTGCAGCTCTTCGATGCAGCTGTGCTGGTCACTGGAGGAAGAGGTGACACTAAAGCTCCATTGGGAAGGAAGGACTCTGGGATTCAAGGTGGGAAAGTTTCATTCTGTCTACACGCCATCCCTTTCTTGCCCAGAGCTAAGAGTCCAGAGAGTAGTCTTAGTGCCAGGAACAGCTCTGGCAGGACGCTGGGTTGATTATCCCCTCTGGGCTCAGCACCCTATTCTGTAAAACAGGCATAATATTTAAGAGTTTGCCTTCCTTCTGCCTTTAATGAAAATCACCGGAGTCATCAGGGAAGTTTGGGCTGCAGGAAACAGTCTGATTGAGGGTTTAAGATAAGAGCAGTGGACTGGCCAGGGTGGCAAGTCCTTGGTTGGATATCCAGGAAAGCCTCAGGCATGAAAATGGGGAGAAGGCTGCCCTTGGAAATACTGACTTCCAGAATGTTCCATAGGGCTGTGATGCAGGGGTCAGCCACTGCCACCTGCACAGCTGCCTCTTGGCACCAATAAAGCAAGTGGTCACAGGCTAAAAGCCCCACATCCCTATGGCAGTGCCCAAGACAGAGGCTGAGAGTGGCTGTGACTCACACAAGCATATAAGTGGAGGAAACTCATTTGCATACTATGTCTAATTTGCATACAGAGCCCAAGCTGCAAGGACACCTGGGAAATGTAGTTTTTAGGTTTCTGGCATCTGTAATACAGGAAGCCCCTCCAGAAGGGGTTGGATGGCTGAGGGCCCATTCGCCAGGCCAATGACACCTGGCCAGCAGGGCACGGCTGGCCCACCAAGGGGCTGATCATTTCCTTTCCGCAGCTCATTGTACTCCAGTGACTGGTGTCTCCTTGCATAATGATTGCTTCCAGATCCTGGAGCCACCCAGTTCAGAGTGATGGAGAGCTGGGTTCTCTACTCAGACTTGGGCTCCACCCCTTCCTAGCTCTGCTGCCTGGGGCATGTTACAGAATTTCCCCAAACTTTGCTACGATTGGGGTGGGATTAAGACCATCTATACAGAGGGCGATTGGGAAAACCCAAGAATATGATGTGTACAGCATCTCACTCAGTTCCTAGCAGGTAGTAAGTGCTCAGTAGACCCAGGCCATGGTGGTCACAGAGAAAAGCCAGGACGGGGGGTGTGGAGTGGTCACCGTGGTACTGGACAGACTGGTCCTGGAATCACACCTGGGGCTTGGAGCTTTCAGAGTCATGTGGCAGTGTGGTGTCCTGAGGAAGCATCTTCCTGTGGTCTTCTCATTTGTGAAGCAGTCCTTGGACCTCCCAGCAGGACACACATGCATCAGGGGACGGGCAGAGCCCAGGCTGGGCCCAGAAGAAGAAGGGAGGAGGACTGGATCCTGCATTTCCCCAGCACCCCGTGGGTCTTTGCCCAGCTTGGCTGAGCTGGGAGGATGGCCATTTCCAGGACCCTCCCCCGGGTTGTGCACAAGGAGAGGCTGCTGCCTGCCTCCTTCCCATTGGCTCCCATCTCTGCACCTACCGTGCCCATTAGCCAGCCCTCCCCAGCCTCAGCCCTCCAGCCTCCCCAGGCTTTGCTGGTTAGAGGAAAACAGTAGACAGGTCTCAGAGAGGGTCACACTGCAGTGCACCCCAGGGTCCTGTCCTTGGCTGGGGGATGGGAGCTGGCTGAGTTTCTCCAGAAGCTTCTCAGACGGTTCCCACATGGTAATGACTGAGAAGCTGCCTGCACCAAGGTCCCGAGGGGTGCCTGAGTCCACATCTGCGGTCCGTGCGTCTGTGTCTGTGGGAACAGTCCTTATCCAGGGACTGGCTACTTCCAAGACACTCACTCTGCAGCCAACCTGGAAGCTTCAGGAAGCAGGGACAGAGCCAGTCACCTCCTCTGTCACCCCAGGGGCTATAACAGTGTGGACACATGGCTGCAGTACTAGAAGGTTCTGTATGCGGAGAAGCACCTGTGGTCTGGAGTGCAGACGAGACTGGAGCCTGATGGGACTTCAGGCTCTGGCTGTGTGATGCGCGCAAGTTACAGAAGCTCCCTGAGTGTCTGGGGTTGGTGGGGGCATTGCAGGACTTCCAGTGCAGAGAGGTCTCTAGCCTTCCAAAGAGAGTGTGTGCACAACGTCCTCTCAGAGCCAAGCACAGGATAGGTGCTCAGCAGGAGTTGCTGTCACGCTGAACTGACCCCAGCCTATCGCTCAGCCTTTTGGGGTGTGCAGGCCAGGTCTCCACCTTCATGGGAAACACTTTCCACAGGAGAAAGCAGCTTGCCCTCTCCTGGCCTTGGCTCTTCTCTAGGCTGCAGGGCTCCTGCCTTTAGTTGCTCCCGGGGCCATTTCTTCGGGATCCATTCTGAAGGGGATCCATCCCCTTCCAGAGTCTGCTGCTAGGAAACAAATGCTGTGCTCCACAGTGTCATCCAGGAGCCCAGCTGGGCTCTCACCTCCCTTGTCCTGGACATAATACTCCTGTTAATGCAGCCCAGGTCTGGCGCAGCCTGGTGTGGTGATGGATGGCCCAGAGCTTGCAGTCAACCTGGCTTGTGCAGGGAGGTGGACAGCTCAGCCTCCACAGAGGGATGGAGCTCGGGTGACTGCTGAGCACTGGCTTCTGCCAGCTGGCCTCTGGGCTGTGTGGCTACTTTGCCCACCCTTCAGTCCTTCTGAGCCCACGTCCTTTTCTTGGACCAAAACCTCCCCCCTAGTCAGCTGGCTGTGCTGTTTGGTTTGGGCAGAAGTCAGTCTGAGCAGGGGCTCCTGGCCTGGGGAGAACGGGGGATAGATGAGGCCAGGGAGTTGCCCCCATATTGTGGCTCTCCTGGGACTGGGCACAGCAAGCAGAGGGGCGGCTCACCGGCGAAGCTGCGAGCCCAAGGCCTCTGGTAGGGAAGGCTGATGTGAACAGAGGAGACACTGCCCAGCCTCGATGTTGCGGGCCTGAGACAGAACTCAGAAGCTGGAGACAGCCCTGGAAACTGCTGGGCTCTGGAGGTGGCTCTGTGTCACCTGCAGGGAAGCTTCCTCATAAGCCACTAGGATGACGGAGCCGCCCTGACCTTTGCTGTGTTCCAAGAGTGCAGCAGAGAAGACAGGATCCTGGGAGCCAGAGGCCACAATGTCGTTTATTCATCTCAATGTATGTTTCTGGGAAGAGTAACGAAGGAAGCGCTAGCAGTACAAATGAGGAGAGGCAGTTACGAGGAAGACCACATCCAGGTACACAGCGGTGAAATCGCACTGTGGCGTGCCAAGCCCATCTGTGGCTCCGCATTGCTCCTCATCTGTCAGGAACGACCGTCATCCACACTGCACGGTTCTGAGAACGGGCGTCAGTGCCATCAATAATTCCACCAGGGCAACAGGTGTAAAACGGGATCGTCCTGGCAAGCCGGAGCATATGGCGGCCGTCCTTATCTGTGCAGTCAACTGATTTGCAGGGGTGACCAGATATTCGGCGAGAAAGGTTTTGACTTAGAGCAGGACCAGAATCGGCGCCGAGCCGTTTTACAAAAACGGAGCTCACTTTTTTGTTCCACAGGCAGCGCTTTCTGGTGAGGTGCTCTGAAAGGTGGTGCTGGAGGGCTTACAGAGGGGGCAGCCCATGGCTTGTGAGCCCACCCAGGGGCCAGGCTAGCCGAGAGGCCGCACAGAAAATGCAAAGAGCAGGGGTTTGGGGACTGGGCCCACCCAGGTTCCCTTGTCTCCCCATGGCTTCATGGCTGAGCACAGAGGTTGGTTGTTGGTGCTGTTTTTCTCCAGGACCTTCACCCTTAGCTCTTCGTAAGGATAACCTGTCTTTCTGGGTTAGTCACCTCCCCTGTCACCATGGAGAGCCTGATGCCTGCCTCCTTCCCACTGGCTCCCATGTCTGCCCCTGCCGTGCCCACTAGCCAGCCCTCCCCAGCCGTGGCCCTTCACTCCCCCCACACACACTCTAAAAGCACTGGTCCTTCTGCTTTCCAGCCACCCTGGAAGCTGGGCATGGGGATGTGTCCCCACTCAGCCACTCAGGAGCCTACACTGAGTGACTTGTCCAATCAGGTGTTTTTCCCTGACCGTCTTGCCCAGTGAGATGCCCCTGACCTAAAAACCGGGACAGTCAGATGCAGCCACTGTAAATTTCGTGCAGTCAGATGTCTGCCCTGAACTGTGGCTCAGAACCATGGGAAACGGAGGCTGAGAGTGGGGGAGGCCTGTGTGGCCCAGTGGCTGGTGTCTGGGGCTGGCAGGGCCTGTGTCCATGGACAGTGCCTCTCACCGGTTCTGCAGCGTTTTCCCTTCCTTCTGGCCGTGTTTGTGCTGCCCTTTACTCTTCTAATACATTTCTATTCAGCTTATGCCAGACAGAACCTGTTTTTCAGCTAAAGAGCCCCGGCTAATGTGCGGCATGAGCTGCACCAGTTCTTGCCATTTTCTGAGCCTTACACCGTTATCTTTAAAATGGGGCAAGGATCCCTACCCCACAGAGTTTGCTAAAGACGACGAGCACGCTTTCTGCATAGCACCACGGTCAGCCATGGAGCCCTGGAGCAGCTGTGGGTGCAGCCTGCACAGAGGGTGGAGGAAGCTCTCACGGTTTTGGTATTATCTCCTCCAGATCTCATGTGGAATCGCAATCTCCAGTGTTGGAGGTGTGGGCCTGGTGGAAGGTGATTGCATCATGGGGGTGGCTCCTGAGGGAAGGTGTTCTCTTTCCAGGCCCGTGAGGGGGTGTAGATTTAAGGGCAAGAACTTCCCAGCACCATGCCCCGCTCCCATCTCTCTCCATCTGGGAGATTTAATGGTCTCTGTTTTAATTTTCGCAGGCTCGGGAAGAATCAAAAGTCAATCGCTCCCGTGAAACGTCTAAGGAACTCTTTTCACTGGCCAGGGGTCTTGGAGAAGGTGGGGGTTCCTCCCAGGTTAAAAGCCCCCTTCTTCCATACTCCTTTGGACTCCATGTTTGGGTCGCCTTCCACAAGCACTCCCTTTGTGGAAACCGTCTTTCTCCTGGATTTCCCCTCTGGGGTCCCCTTCCACTCGGTGTGGAAGCTTTCTCTCTTCCTCTCCTTTTTTCTCTTTTCTGTCGAAATAAATCACTTTCTGCAAACTGTTTGGGGCCTGGTATTTGCGAGCGCACCTGCCATGGTCCCCTGCCTCATTCTTGAGAGAGCGAGAGACCAAGGACTTTGGAGATACGTCCTCTCAGGGCAGCTGAGGGCTCCCCTGAACCCCAACACTCCTTCGTGAATGGTTCAGCACTGTCCCCTTCGTGATGAGGTGAGAAACAAACTCACCCATCCAAACCCAAAGAAAGGACTCAGACACCCGGAGAATGGCGAATGTGAGACTGTTAATGATGGCTTTGCAAGGTCGGGTGTCTGATGCATGGACACAACCGACAGACAGAGTTTCAGCAAGCAGCTTACTCCCCGGGGCTCAGACCCCTCCCCCTGGTTCTTCTTAGGCTGAGTGCTAGGGGGTTATAATCTTCCCGGATGCTATTGATTGTTAGGCAGGGGCTTTAGGTGTTTTGTTTTTGAGGGTTGTTTTGCTGCATTTTGTTGCAGCCCACGATGCGTTGCAATCCTAGTCAGCTCAGGGGCTCTTCAAGTATTTGATTTATGACCTGAGTAGCTGGGCAGGCTGATGAGAACAGACAAAGCGAGCTATTTTGCAGGCTGGTAAACTTTCATCTTTTTTTTTTTTTTGAGATGGAGTCTTGCTCTGTTGCCCAGGCAGGGCAACAACATGTGACATGATCTTGGCTCAATGCAACCTCTGCCTCCCGGGTTCGAATGATTCTCCTGCCTCAGCCTCCTGAGTAGCTAGGATCACAGGCACGTGCCACCATGCCCAGCATATTTTTTTGTATTTTTTAATTGCATTTTAGGTTTTGGGGTACATGTGAAGAACATGCAAGATTGTTGCATAGGTACACACATGGCAGTGTGATGTGCTGCCTTCCTCCCCTTCACCTATATCTGGCATTTCTCCCCATGCTATCTCTCCCCAACTCCCCACCCCCTGATGTCCCTCCCTTATTTTCCCCCGTAGAGACAGGGTTGCACCATTTTGGCCAGGTTGGTCTTGAACTCCTGACCTCATGTTCTGCCCACCTCGGCCTCCTAAAGTGCTGGGATTACAGGTGTGAGCCACTGCGCCCGTCCAACAAACTTTCCTCTCAAACTAAACTTCTTCAGGTTGGGTGAGGGCAACCAAGGGGGTTGGGGGGCTGAGAAGCAGGCCTCCACTATCCAAGCAGGGGCCTAGTATATACTGTCTTTTCTGTAGTTTGCTGATCTAAGCCCATTTAAGGCACTTTGTCTTGGAAATGGGCCACTGTATACATGATTTCCTTCAGTGAGTGAGTTCTTGCTCAGGCAGTTCACTGGAGATCTCACTGCTTAAATGTGCGTGGCCCCTCCCCCCTCAATCTCTGGCTCCACCTCCCACCCTGTGACACGCTGGCTCCCTGTCACCTTTCACCATGATCAGAGGCTTCCTGAGGCTTCACCAGAAGCAGACGCTGGCACCATCTGCTTCACAAGACAAAATGAAACCTCTTTTCTTTATAAATTACTCAGCCTCAGGTATTACTTTATAGCAATGCAGGAACGGCATAATAGGCTGGGCGCCGTGGCTCATGCCTGTAATCCCAGCACTTTGGGAGGCCGAGGCAGGCGGATCATAAGGTCAAGAGATCGAGACCATCCTGTCCAACATGGTGAAACCCCGTCTCTACCAAAAATACAAAAAACATAGCCAGGCATGGTGGCACGTGCCTGTGGTCCCAGCTACTCCGGAGGCTGAGGCGGAAGAATCGCTTGAACCCAGGAGGCGGAGGTTGCAGTGAGCCGAGACTGCACCATTGCAACCCAGCCTGGTGACAGAGCAAGACTCCGTTTAAAAAAAAAAAAAAAAAGAACGGCCTAATAGAGGGGCCTGCCGTGGCAAACAGCAGCATGGGCGCTACCCACTAACGTACGTGCCAAGCTAATCTCCTCCTTTCTGTCTAGAGGTTTAAATGTTCAGAAACAAAAACTCAGCCTTCAGAAATGACAAGTCAAACCCATTTAAGATGCCGCAGGCAGAGCTCCGCTGCCGGCACAGGGCTGCCAGAGCGCAGGTGGGATCAACGATGGGGTATTATTTATTTTAGAGTGAGTATGTCTCATGCAATATTTGAACATACTTATTTGTGAAAAAAAAAATTGTGTACCTGAGACCCCAGTGTAACTATGCGCCCTTTTAATTTTATTTGTGAAATCTTGGCCCCCTTAAACCCTGGTCGCCTCCTTCTGGATTTTTCTCCTGACTCCCATGTCCTGCATTTGCTTTGCTTTGGGGGAGCTCTGCAGACGGCCAAATGACCTTGTAGCGGTGTGGCTCTGAAAGCCTCCTGCATTTGGTTCAGAGCTTACTAAGACAAGCCATTTCCACCGTGATGAAGAGCACGCAGGCACAGCCATGTCCCAGAATCAACGGCGTCTCAATGACAAAATGGGCAGCGTTCTCACGTATTCCACCACTGGGAGCCCCATGAACACCCTTCTGGGTCATTATGGTTCATTTTCACTTTGAAAAGCACATGCTCCCCGGTCCTCCGGCCCCCGCGCCCGCCTCTGGCCCTGCCGTTCCTCACACCCACATACAGTCAAGGTCCATTATGCACCAACTCTGTCCAGGCAGGGAGCTGCAGGGAATAGTCATTTTTCAAAGAGGAAACACATTTGCTTAGCAAGTCCAGGCCTGTTGGTCTCCCCACCCGGGCAGACATGGAAGCTTCTGGCTACTTCTAATGTATCACCCAGGGAGGCCGAAGGAGACTATTTCGGGAACTGTACTTCCCAGCACAAGCTCTACTCCCAAAACACAGCAGGCAGAGGACAGAGTCTGGTGGCTGCTGCATGGCTACCTGTAACCAAGAGGACTCCCAGGGCTGAGGTGTATGTGAATCAGTGGCTACCCGTGTGTGCTCTCTCTGGAACCCACAGTGCTGGTAACTCAACTAGGAATTCAAAACTATGATTTTAGACACTGTGGAACAGGTATCAGGAGCTTTCAGAAATCATCTTCATCCCTGGCACTCCCTGGAGATGCATCTCCTGTGCTTCGCTGGTGCTGCGGTCTTGAAAGAGAAGGACGACTTGGGTTAATTGCCATAGTGACTGTCACTGCTTACTGGGCTCTGTGATGCTGCTTTCTCAGGATTGCTCATAAAATACGTGGATGGCCATTCCAAAGATGAGTTCTTACTGTAGTTGATTTTTAAAGCACTTCAGGGGAAGCCAAGGAACCAAGCTGCCGCAGGGCTGTAGATGTTTTTGGACCAAGCGCAACGGTCCTTTCGTGTCTGTGTTCCTCCCTCGTCACCGACTCACTCCAGCGGCACTGGCTGTGGCTGCACATTCCGCGTGTGCTGAGGCTTCTGTGTGAGGGGCGGGGCCTCTGCAGGGACGCAGGATGAGATAGGGAAGCCCAGGTCCTGCCGGTCACAGTCCGGTGAGGAGTGCACCTGAGACAGAGTTGGAGCCTGCATGCCGTGGAAATGCTCAGCTCCACGGTGAGCACGCCCCAGGGAGCTGCACAGACAGCAGGCAGCAGGTGGAGGTGGTGCGGGGTCGGGGGGCAGCTCCAACTCCACCTGACCACAGACGGATAGTCCGTCTCTCCCAGCTTTTGCCCAATCCTGGTCCCCCTCCCTGTCCCCCCCACCCCCTGCATGATGACACCTAGCAGCAGCCCAGGCTGGGGATGCCACTCTTTAGCCAGGCTGAGCACCTGCCTCAGCCTCACCGGGCCACTGTCATAGGAAGGAAAGTGTGGAATCAGGAGGCCGGTCACCGTCTGCTGTGCCCTGGGGGTAGCTCTTAGTGCTGCCTGCCAGATTGCCTCGTTTTTTTCTCTGCAGGAACACGGCAGGATTGCCTGTTGTGTCTCCTTTGCAGGGGGTAGTGAACATGGTACAAGCCCCTCCCCGTGGATTGTGGGGAGAAGTAGGCAAAGCATTTTAAATGCTGGCATGTGACTGCAAGAGCTCTCTTCTTCTGCATGGCAGTGGAGGAGCTTAAGCATACAACTGCTCCCTACACCCCAGACCTGAGGGACATCTCTGCATAGAGCCTCCCTGCTCACTGTCCCTGCTGCCTGAGGACCTGTGATGGATGTGTGGTCTCAGCAAGAGATGATCTGCTGTTGTTTTAAAACACTGGGCTATGGGGGATGTTTGTTACTTCAGCATAACCTTGATCATCCTGACTGATACAACAAATATCGTAGTCCTATAAAATAATTTTTTGCAAATTATTTCTTGTTCATAATCTGCTCATCAAATTCTTGTCCATTTTTCAAGAGTCATTCCCTCCTCTGGGAAGTCTATCCTAACTTTCTCTAGTCGAACTGACCTTGGGTTTCCACTCTTCTTTGCATGGTGCCTCTACAGAGTAGCGTCTTCCTAGATTGTTAGTTGTCTATATCTGTGTACAAAGCTCCCCTCCCCAAACTGAGTTTCTTAAAGGCAAGGTCATATTTATCTCCGTATCCTAGATCCAGAACAGTGCCAAGCACATATTAAGCCTTCAAGAGAGACTTGCTGGGTGGAACTGGAGAGACACAGATAGGCAGGTGCATAAAACTTCAGGCTTTTCTTGTCCATATGATTTTGTTCATTCTTCTTTCTTTACTTGCAGTGTTTTATTTTGCTTTTTGAATCCCCATCTTTCTATTTATATCATAAATTTTATTTATATTCACGTATAAGGGAACTGGCTCTTGTAGGGAAAGTGATCAACCAATAAACGTCTTTTAAGAACCTACTATGTGCCAGGTACCTTTCTAGATTCTGGATATACGGTGATGGATGAAATAGACAAAGGTATGTTCATTTCAGCAGACAGGATAGCAATAAAAATACATTAAGATGAAATATATATACAATGTCAGCTGATGGCAAATGCTACACAGAAAGTAAGTCAGTGGAAGGAGTCAGAGGGCAATGGGAGATGCCACTTTTAAAGGGGGGTATAGAAAAGTTTGTTTGAGTAGGTGACATTTGAGGTGACTCCGGAAGAAAGTGATGAAATTCACCATGCACATATCTGCAGGAAGAGCATGTCTGGTAGAGGGAACAGAAAAGGCAAAGTTCCCGCGGTGGGAGGGACAGGCGGGCCAGCGTGACTGAATGCAGTGAGTGAAAGGAAGAACAGAGATGAGACTGGAGAGGCAGCTGGGGTCGGATCTCTTAGGGTCCGAAAACCATGGCTGAACAGTTTGAACTTTACCGTAAGCTCAACGGGAAGCCAGGACGGTTTTAAACAGGACAGAGACAAAATCCAACTTGTGCTTTAGAAAGGTCATGCTGGCCAAGAGCTGAAGAATAGCTGGGTCGTGAGGACGCTCATTAGGAAGCCATTGAGTGTCCCATGTGAGGGTTGATGGTGTTTCAGGTGAAAGTGGACAGTGGCTTGGACAGAGGGTGTCAGGGCTCCTCAGTGCCCCTAGAACGAGTGGGGCTTTGACCCCTCCTCTGATCTGCATGTAGCATCTGCTTAGTTCCCCCATTCATTCATGAATTAAGTAGCGTCTTAGGTGCTCATTTCATGTTTCAATGGGAGCCTTGATTTTGCCTTTTGGACACACTCTTCTTTTGCACTTCTCCCTGTGGGGAAGAATAGTTCTGAAGGCATGGGAAGTGTGAACCCCACGCTGTATTTTGGACACGTCTGGTTCTAGATGCCCATTAGGCACTGAAAGTTCTTTCCAGGAGACCAGATTCACTAGTCTGGCATCGTGGTGGCGGATGGGGCTGGGCATGCAAGCTTGAGAGTTCTTAACATGTTGTTGATCGTTAATTCGGCAGGCTGGACTGGATCACCTGTAAAAGCTGGTAGGTGGAGCAGCACAGAGACCTGAGCACGAGACTGAAGGCTTCATCTAAGTTGTGAAGGAAGGAGAGTTAGCAAGAAAGAGAAGAAACGGCTTGGAAGGTAGGCACAGGGAGAAGCACAAAAGAAGAGTGTGTCCAAAAGGCAAAATCGAGACTCTTGCTGAAACTTGAAAGAGCACCTAAGGCACTGTTTAACTCACGAATGAATGAGGGAACTAATCAGATCTTACAATCAGTTCAAAGCAGGGACCAAAGCCCCACCCACTCTAGAAGCATTAAGGAAACCTGAATCAAATTCACCAACATGCATGGCGGGTCTACCAGAGGCCAATACAGGTATTGATCGACTTACGACCTATGCAACTTACGACCATTCGACTTTGTGACCACAATCGCTAGCCACGACGGCTCCGCGTCTGGCAGCGCAAACGTTGCCCAGCTGGGCGTACGACAGTGCGGACCAGCTTCCGGCAGCACTACCATCTCCGCGTGCATATAGCCTACTCAACTTACGACCAAATCGTGTTACGACCGGTCTGGCGGAACCAATCGTGGCCGTTAAGTCGAGCACTAGCTGTAACCAGTTCTACCCCAGGAGACACAGTTAATTTGCATTTCTAGAAACAAAAGTTATTTGCATTGTTCTCCGTTTTCTACAGTCTTTCTCAATTTTTAAAGCAGCCATTGAAGGGCAGAAAGAGCCCGGAGGGTGTACTAGACGGGATGTTTAGTAAATTTGCCTGT